AGAAATAATGAAGTTTTAAAACCTACACTTTAAATGTTAAGGGACAATTTTGTTTCTCAAAAGGCAACGTTTTCATGCGCATCTAGGAAGGATGCAATTTTGTTCCTAAATTTAGACAAATTGTGTAAAACTTTACACCGTTTTGTCCATCTTTAGGAAAACAAATTAACCGTTGCTATTTGAGGAAAAAGTTTTTGTCTTATCATTTAGAATGTATATTTCCGCAGAACGTTACCCTTTCTTGACGTCCTCGATGGCGTCCTCGGCCGTGTCGTAGTTGTTGGCCTCCATGGTGCGGTACATGTTGCTGAGCTCCACCTGCCGCTTGAAGTACATGTCCACGGCGCTGCCCTTGACGGTGGCGCACGTCAGGTTCTCCATGGTGTTGCGGAGGCGCGCGTCGTTGATGCCCGTCAGCTTGGTCTTGGGCCGCTCCAGCACGAGGAAGGCGGCCAAGTTGGCAGTGTACGAGGCGACGATGATCATGGCGAAGCCGGCCCACACCATGCCGAGCACGCGGGCCGAGAAGCTGCGCGGGGTTCCTACACAAGACAACGTGCACACAATAGAAACGAACCAAATGCGCGTTGAACAGAACTCACTGGTGAGCAGAAAAGGACATTTACAAGTCCAAAAAGTGAAAAAAAAAGAAAAAAAAACCTTTTTTGTTTGACGGTATTTCGGCGCAAAAACTATGTATTATATATAAAACTAGGCCAAAACCAAAAACGATTTTTTTTTTGGAGTGGGGACTTACGTTCTGTTTGTCAGATCAGCAGTGTACTGTTCGGAAACTGGTCTAGGATAGTTCATTGTGCTCACCCTCCCCGATGCCGCTGTTGAGCAGGACGCCCCAGGCGAACCAGATGGCGGAGCTGAGGTTGAGCGCGTCCTCCTCGGTGCCGTCCGTGTTGGCGAGCTTGAAGCGGCCGAAGGGCGAGAAGCGATCCAGCAGGTACAGCACGAGGGCGACGACGTGCACCGAGACCATCACCAGGATCCAGAGCGTGTTGGAGAAGGGCTGCAAGAACGACACGAGGGTGGACGAGCGCGAGGGCTTCTTCTCCAGGATGGTGATGCCCTGGTACTTGAACGGCTTGGAGAACTCGATGAACTCGGCGCGCTCCGGGTTGATGGTGAGCGGCGCCACGATCATGTCGGCGCGCTCGTTGACCAGCTCGCCGATCAGCCCCGTCCACTCCTTCTTGCCGCCCACCGTCGTGTTGCGGATCACGTAGTTGCCGAAGAGCCCGTCCGGCGAGAGCGCCAGGCTGTACGTGAAGTTGATGGTCTTGGCCAGCTCCTGCAGCAGGTCCATGCAGAAGCCGCGGCAGCAGTACATGACGGCGTCGGTCGCTGGACGAGGAAGAGCAAAATTAACTTTCCTATTTATTGAAATTATTATATTGAGCCAGGAGCTCCAGCACACGAGACTCACAGTCGTCTGAGCTGTTGAAGTGGGGGCACGGGATCTCGTCGTTGGTGCACTTCTCCTCCTTGGCCTCGCGCACGTACACGAACGGCTTCTCTGCGATGGTGAGCACCTTGAGGTGCGTGGGGATCATGAAGCCCTCGGGCTTGGTGCGCAGCCGCCCGGGCCACAGGATGTCCGTGTCGTTGAGCTCCAGGTGCATGCGGTTCTGTTCCTGTGGTGTGGTGGTGGCATTCGAGGGGAGGTTTGAGCTCGTGGTGGCAATGTTTGGGGTTTATTTTCTTTCTGAAATTATTGGCGTCGCTGAGACTTACCCGAGAGTAGACGAAGTGGCCGACGGCCTCCTGGATCTGGTTCTCCTTGACGTTGACGACGTCGTACTCGGCGTTGACGCGGTCGCCGTTCTCGTCGAAAGCAACCTTGCCCGTTTGCCCATCCAGTAGCTCTTGCTTCATGATGTACCTGCAACGACGAGGACGAGCATTATAATCTCCAAGTTTGCAGGCGGCGCGTTCCCAAACACGAGAAATGTCGACGTACTCGAAAAGCTGTTTGCCGGTGTCCCAGATTGTCCCCGAGGTCTCACAGTCGGACGGCGCCTCAGTGATGTTCTTCATGCTGGTGAGCTCGCGCAGAGCGGACGTCAACACGAAACTAGAAGGGAGGAGAGGAAAGAAAGAAATAGACGTGAATAAACAATGGCCGTCCAGGTGTATGTGTATTCCCCGAGGGGCGGGAAGGCAACAAGGCACGACACTTACATGCTGTCCTGGATGTGGGCCTCCTCTGCCGTGGCGTTGACAAGCTTGAGCCCCAAGGTGCCTTCGGGCACGTTGTTGGCCTCCAAGGCCTGTTCAGTCACAATCCACACGTAGCCCGTCTCCGTCATGTTGAGGTTGCCGGCGTCCCGAAAGATGACGCTGGCGTCTTTCCTCCTGCGACCGGAAGTTAAGAGGTGAGACAAGTGCGTGGAAGAGCCGCAGCCACAATGCGGAAGTGGGTTCAATTGAGCGTGTGTACTTACCCCGCGTACATGAGGTACACCCTGGCCTGGGCGTTTTTCATGTCGAGCAGCTGCTCCGTGAAGCTGTCTAGGCCAGGCTCGAACTCGATGACGGCCTCCACCAGCACCTTGATCTCCACGTCGTCCTGGAGGCTCTGGCTGGTGGTCTGGAACCGGCCCAGCAGCGCGCGCCCGTCCGTGTCCGACGAGTGGATGAAGATGACCTTCATGTAGTTGAAGTGCTTGAGCAGCTCCACCCAGACGTCGGCCTGGTGCGAGTAGGGCGGCACAGTGCGCAGGAATGAAACGTGGATGTTCTGTGGGGAAAAGAAATACAAATACTAAAACGTCTTCTGAGAGAAGATCAGGAACATGCAGTGGAAGACCTCCTGAAAGTCATGCGAGCAGGGGCGCACCTTGTCCGAAAACGCCGAGTCCCTGGAGGAGATACCGATGACGGGTATGTGGTAAAAGCCGCTCGTGTAGGAGACGGCCGCCGGGGACAGGTCGCCAATCAGCGGGTGCGACACGATCACTGCGTACACCTTGTGCGCGATCAGGTCCTTGCAGACGTTGAGCGCGGTCCGGATCGGGTTCGGGTCCATGATGATGAAGCAGGGAAGGTACGTCACCCCTTTCGGGACGTACTGGTCCATGAAGTTGATTTTCTGTGCGAAGCGAGTAGAGGCACCGTGAGATCAATAATAATGGTCCAAAACAGAATCATCAATGGGACAAAAACAAAAGTAACAAACGGGGCGCCGTAGCCACTCTGTACCTCTATAATTTCCCTGAAGTGGGTGGCGCTCTCGTTGTTGCTGAGGACGCCGCCGACGTTGTACGTGTTGGGGTTCTCCGCGAGGCACGCCAGCAGCAGGGCGGCCAGCAGCGCCGCTCTCAGCGCCCCCCTCGGGAGCCCCGCCCGGGGCCCCCACCGCGTGCCCAGCATCGCTCACTGCAACCACAACTTTGTCATACCGGCACCCCCCTCATGTGTCGCCAGTGATCACTATCTAGCTTACATTTCTTCGAGAGAACGGTCTTTTAAAAGTAGCGAAATAATTCGCTAGTCTTCGGATATACACCAAAACAAAAGATAGATCTCGGCAAGAAACAGAACGCGAAAAACCGTTCCTAAAGCTAAATTTTGGTTTCTGTTGCGATGTAAGTAGGGCGAGCTCCATGATGATCCTGCTGAGCAAGGTGGCCCACTACTGATCAGCTGATGGGGTGGCGAGGCGTGGCGGGCTGTTGTCGACCGCCCCCGCCAAGCCTGCGCCAGGACGGGCAGCGCGGGGCCAAACAGCCTAGTCGACGCACGCCGTCGTTCTCCACACCTACTCACCTCGCCTCCGACTGTCCTCGGCGCGCTGCGGGCGTGCGGGGCACTAGCGCCGCGACATGGGAGCCTACCACCACAGCCCTTCGCGCCCTGCCTCTGGCGCCTCCAGGGCGACTCGCCTCGCTCCGAGCCTCGCTCAGCACACTGAGAGGAGAACGGAGTGGACGGACACGCCCAGGCTGCCAGGGCTGTCTCCGGGCGGCGCGGTGCGCGGAGCGTCCAAGAGCACGGCCTCTCGCGGGGGGACGCGGCGAGGCGCTGCGGACGCAGCCCCGACCCCCCCGCGGATCGATGCGACCCGCGCCCCTCCGACCCGGCTCGGCTCTGCGCCCGGCGCGGCAGGGCTCCGCCCAGCTCCGCTCGGCTCCCAGCATCCCCCTTCGGTCCTACATCAGACATCCCCCGCCCCCTCTCGGTGCGCCCCCTTGCTCTGACGGGTGAAGGGCCACCAGGACATCGCATCGCACAGCCCCGACCCTCCGCTACCCCACGTCGTAAAGCGTTCACCCAAGTTTGATATCGCGAGCGGCCAAACCTCAGAGATTCACTAAACCGCAGAGATTAACTAGCAGAGAGATCTACTGAAAAGTGGTACGAATAAAACTGCGTTCAACAAATGTCACGCATAACATTAACTAGACCTAAGTGACAGCTCCGCACTAAAAAGAACGACCTGGTTTCATACATATCCTGCATCACAATAGTGTATTTCGACCAACGGAGGAAGAAGAAGAGCGGGTAGAACATGAAGGTTCCTGATTGGCCGAGCGCTTACCCCCACTACCGGCGTGACGTAGAGGCGGGAAGCTCTCGACCAATCGGTAACGTTTATGTTCTACCAGCTCTTCTTCTCCGTTAGTCGAAATACACTATAAATGTAACGAAAATCTCGACCGAAATGCGTTCAATTCCGTTTTGACGAAAGGGTGTGTGCGGTGGTGTGTGTGTGATTTTTGGAGGTCTCCGGAGCAACAACGCCACGTTTGTTTTCCGAGCGTCGCGTCGAGTCGGCGTCACCACGCCATGCTCGGGGCGGGGCGGCTACAGAGGGTAGAGCTGGCGGGAATACTCCCTCCCTCATGCACATCCGCAGCTACCCCTGGCGCCGTGAGGGTGAGGGGTATATACTGAGGAACGCACGTGTTGGTGGTCCAGGTCTAGGCCACTCGAAGAATTATACATTTCTTTCCCTTAATAATTACGATCACGGATACTAAGAACACTGTCGAATGTGCATCCGATATTTGCAGTCTTTAATTCTATTTGTTTTAAAGGAGCTTGCATGCGACTTGCATTTGAGTAGTCTAGCCCCAGGTCTAGCCGATGTTGAGAAAAATAGTAGATTATAAGAAATTACTTGACAAACTTTTCAGTTTAGAGTTAGAAAGTACGTCCGTTTTTCCATATTCATTCGGTAGATTTGATGAGCTTTGGCACCTACGAGACGCTGGGCTGGGTGGGCCACCCCGCAGTACACGCGTGCACAGTAGGCAGGCAAGATGTCGCCTATATCTAACTGCCGCTCGATGAGATGAGATTGCATACGCTCAACTTTGGCTGGTTCGTATAACTGCGAGTGACGGACGTACTTTCTGGACGATCCCTTATCAGTTTGTCGTATAGTATATAGTACAAATACAAAAACATTTTGTATGCAGTTAGCTATGTGCCACATTCCTCACCCGAGCGCCCTCCTCCGCGTCTCGGTCGCAGGCCGGATGGTGCCCCCGGCGGGCCGGTCCAGCGCGCTCAGCTCCACACCGCCGCCCTCTCTCTGTGAGCTTTGTTAGCTGTCCTGCTGTTTATTTCGGATGCCGCCTGACTGGACGTCAACATTGGCTGCGCCGTGAGAGCTGACGCTCTCCCTCTCCCTTATACTACATCGCTTCGGCCCCTCGAAAGTCCCCAGACCTTTATTGCTCTGCCCTGCCTGGCCTTTGCCCTCCCACGAGAGGACACACACGCCACAGCAAAAAATCATCTCTAGTGGGTTACAACGACTTGAGCCCACCTAAAGTTGAGCGTAAGGACATGAGCATGGATAGAAAAAGTTGTGACCCCCGCCCAGAGGATCGGACTCATGCCTGGTGCAAGCCGGGTTCATGTCTGGAACTTGAGCACAGATTGCAAAAAAACAATGAGCCCGGACACATTTTCAGCTCCTGAACGCATACTACCTGAACTGAAATAGGTCGGGCTCAAGTCCGGACTCACTGTTGACTTGAGCACGGATTGCACCAAACATGAGCCCGACCAGCTGGGCGGGTGTCACATAACTTTTGCAATCCGGGCTCAACTTCAGGCGGGCTCAAGTCGTTATAGCCCTCTAAATAGTGTTTCTATCCACGCCGGCGAAGCAGCGCTTCCGTTCGGCCGCGCCCAGACGGAGGCGGTGACCTTCCCTCCGGATCCCTCCTCTCCTGTTTCGCCCACACTGGCTATCATTAGTCCCGCGCTTAGGCCGGCCCCCCTGCTCATTGATAAGGAGCACCTCCGTCGGCCTCGCCGGCCGCCGCTAATTAGAGAATGACCATTTGTCAGGATCATCATCCTCGCCGACGCCTCGTCCGCGTGGCCCTGGGCTGGGCTGGGCAGCGGCCGCTGCAGAGTCGGCCCCCAAAGCCTCGCCCGCAAAGCACTACTGCCCTGCCCCACGTAATAATCAGCATAATTTCCACCTGCTGGTTCCAGACTAAGTAAAAGGGAAAAAAAGGAACCTGCTTTTCCCGCGCTGCTCGCCCTTACACCACCCCGACGATCTCTGGGGGCGCACGCGAAAAGTGAGATGGTGCAAGTGGAGTCTAAAAGGCGCGCCGCCGTGCAATTCTATACTCACCTCTTTATAGCGAGCCGTTTTTTTTCCTCCACAGCGGCCATATTTGGGCTTGAAACGGCCCATAAAGAGGCGTTTAGATGCCCCCTTGCCCTCCCTATCCCCTACGACGCCCCCCCCCCCACAAGCGCTTCCACACACAGCGCACGGCCAACTCAGCGATATTGGAAACTCTTCTCAACTCCCTGGCATTATTCCACCCCACACGTCTCCACCCCCCTACATGACATGCCCCCCCCCTCCTCTTTCCATTCAGGACGTTCTCTTTTCTTCCGTCCGGTCCTACACGTGCTCGCCCACGTGGTCACATCCCAGTGTGTTCCCAGTGTGTTTGCGGGCTGCAGAGAAAGAGAGAGCGAGAGACGGCGACTCATCTGACGGTCGACCAATCACGAGAGAAGAATAAGGGCGCCCGGATCTGGACAATTGACTGTAGAGCGCGACCCTTTTGGTCGTCACAAGCGGATTTTCCACGCGAAAGAGGGCAGAGAAAAACGCTGGCCCATTCGCATTGATGTGGGGGGGGGGGGGGCGGTAAAGAAGGGAAAAACGGAAGAAAAGTCGAACAGAAGTATAGAAAACATATCACATCTGTTCATTTCCACGCCAAAAAATTACAAAATAATAAACATATTTTGTTCGTAATTGCGATATCAACACATAACAGCTCGATAATTCTCTCGTGAAAAACAAAAACAATTAAATTAATCCGATCACAGGAATGGCACATTTACATGGTCAAAAAATTGCAATATTTACTCGTATAGAAAATAAAGTACACAGAATAACTTTTGTCTTGGGTAGACACTAACCAGAAAACATTTTTACATTAGTTAACAAAAGCGTTTTCTGGCTTCTTCTGCTAATTTGCTACGGGTTGGGCCACATTTGACACGATTCATTTTATATCTACTGCCTTACATGTCCGCTAGCTGTACACTCTAAACCTAGTAGACTTCAAGTCTTAAAACCAGGTAAAATCAGTTCTACTTCTTTTGCGATAACGCCTCTTTGCTACAATTGAGAAAAGGAATATCGATGCATTCAACACTGGTTTAAAAATAGGTGGAAATATCCATATTAAACATATTAATGCAATTGTAAAACTGCTTAAACGTCTTGACCCAGGCCTCAGTTTTATTGCAAGTTTCCCAGCGAGCAATGCCCAAGGAGGGCA